CCTTGATCTATTTGTACCTGATTTTTCGGTAAAGTGATAAACACAGTGCTAAGTTAAATTTTCTCTAGTGGACATCCATTTTCCCTAGCAACATTTGTTTAAGATTTTTTATTTTCTCCAGTGTGTATTTTTGGTATCTTTGTCAAACATCAGATGTCTATAGTTATGCACAGTCATGTTTGGGTTTTCTGTTTTATCGCATTAATCTTCTTGTCTTTTCGAGTGGCAGTACTATGCTGTTTTTATTACTAGAGCTCTGTAAAATAGCTTGAAATATCTAGCATAGTAATCTTTCCTGTATGTTGTAAGGAGGCCGATTGTTGGTTCCCAGCCTCTCGGGCCCTAAAATAATCACACAGAAACTGTATTAATTAAATCCTAGGACCTAGATCTCCCCTGCTATCTCCATACTCCCAGATTTAGCTCTGGTCACTCAAATATTGCATCCGTTGTTCAGGTGAAAGTCTTCTACAATGCAAAGTTCAAATCTCAAAAGAGTTTGGAGAAAGACACTATAAGACAAAAGGCATACTTGTGCTCATAAAATCATAGAATTAATATTATAAAAATGGCCATTATACCAAGATCAATTTAGAGTTAATATTATCCCAGTTAAAATCCCTGTTTCATTCTTCACATGAATATAAAACCACATTCTAAAGTTCATTTTGAACTAAAAAATATACTAGATAGTGAAAGCAAATTTGAGCAAAAAGTATAATACAGGTGATGTGGGATTCCCCTTTGTATTCTGTGAATACCATTGATTAATAAAGAAACTGCTTTGGACCTATAACAAGACAGAACTTAGCTAGGCAGATAAAACTAAACTGGATTCTTGGAAGAAGAAGGGCAGAGTCAGAGAGAAGTCATATAGCCCCACTGGAGACAGATGCTGGAACTTTACTCGGTAAACCACAGCCACGTGGCAATACACAGATTAGCAGAAGTGGGTTAAATTAATATGTAAGAGTTAACCAATAAGAAACTAGAACTAATGGACCACACAGTGATTTAAATAATAATGTTTCTGTGTGATTATTTTGGGGCTGAGCGGCTGAAAACCAACAAGCAGCATCCTCCAACAGCATTTTTTAAATTAATTATTGATGGAGGAAATCCCAGCCCATTGTGGGTTCTGCTATCCCTGGGCTGGTGGTCCTGGTCACTATAAGAAAGCAGTGAGCAAACCATGGAGAGCAAGCCAGTTAGCAGTACCACTCCATGTTTTTTTTTATCCATTCCTGCCTCTAATTTCCTTTCTTGCTTGTATTCCTGTCCTGACTCCTGTTGATGATGAACAGCAATATGAAAGTGTAAGCAGAATAAACCATTTCCTCCCAACTTGCTTTTTTACCATTGTGTTTCATTGCAACAAGGGATGTTTTAACTAAAACAACCAGTTAGTTGTGCCTTCCTTCAGCATTTTCCTAAACTGTGTCTTTTGCAAACCTGCTGTGCGTGAAATGTGTAACCTTGAAAAGATTCCCCCCATAGAACTGACTACTTAGAATATGGAGGGCCTTAGTCTAGAAGAACTCTTACCACAAGCTGGACAAACAACCAGGTATTTGAAAGTACATATTACCAGGGTTGAGATACTGCTTAGAACATAGTTATTACTTCTGTACTATGTACTTGTTTGTATATAATTTGTGTGTATATAATTTGCACTACTTATTTATACTGACTTAAAATTTTTCTACATATGCTTTTTAAAAATGCTTTTAAGCTGGGGGTTTATACAAATCCCATTCAGGCCACAATATGAATAATAAATGTGTGTTTATTTGAACTTCTTGATGGTGAAAGTTTTGCAGACAATAGACTTATTTATTTCTGAAGAGGTTTTATGTTAGAAGAAATATCCCTGGGGCATTAAGAAGAAAAAGCCTACAAGAAGCACTTGACTAAGTTGTAACTCTTAGGATAAAATATGACAATAATGATTACTAAAGTAAAAACCAAAGTATAAAACAGCACATACTGAACATAATGCATTTTCAACTTTTCTATTATCTAGTTTGTTTGAGTCACTAGAAAAGCTACTTATGGAAAATTAATTTTGATCTTAGAAGACATGAACTCCTTTGATTTATTGTTTTAAACATGAAATATGTATGATAAGAACATTTAGTAATAGGCATGTGTGTTTACTTCTTGCTATGTGATTGATTATTCTTACCACTTTTCAGTATTTTGTGGGTAAGCAGTTAGACATCCCAAATAGTGCAATCAAAACCTTGCCGAATTTATATGGTAATATATGGAAAAACTTGGATTATTAACAATGGTTACCATGAAACAAACTAGGCAGGTCAACCTCCATACTGTTTCTTCTTCACCATTACATGGCCATGTTCTAACATACTGTGGATGATAGGCTCATAAGTTATTCAGGTATTAGGACAGCTTAGGAAAGTGTACTTAGTATAGTGGGGGAAAAGGGTGTTCGTTCCTGAACTAAAATCACAGATCCCTATTCTGATTGCTAAGGTTAAAGAACTTGAGAGGGTGCATAGTAATAAAACTCTTATGCCGGGATCAGTGTTCTTATTAGCAAAGGAAGAAACCAGAGCCATCTATGTACCCTATGAAAATACACAGCATGACTGTCTGCAACTCTGGCTGACGAACAGGGTCAGGAGTCTGATGTGTTAGCCTCCCAGCCTATGGTACTTCACTATTTTAAACTGTACCTCGTGAAGATTCAGAGCATGGCTGTCTGCAAGCCTGGCACACCATTCTGCCAACAGGGTCAGCGGTCTTTTGTGTGAGCCACCGAGCCTAAGTCATTTCATATGAAGAATCTAAGACACAAAATGATGACATTTTTTTCTCATTTTCCCAGAATATTTGAAATTTTGATTTAAAATATTATTCAAGAATATAAGCCCTTAACATGTTATTCATTGAATTTACTTAATACCTAAATTAGCATCAAACTCAATATATTTTGAGATAACATTCTCTCAAGTGAATTATATGTTAAAATACACAGTTGACTTGGTAGTCAGATAGATCACATTCCAGAAACTCAAAGAATTCAAATGCTGCCAGGGCCATGATGATCTGAGTGGCCTGTGCTCTCAACTGGGGCCATGTTGTTGTCCAGAAAAGGTCTTCTCCCAAGAACATGTCTGGTTCCTTGGCCCTACAGCAGCCAGGGTCTGAGTTGATGTCCATGGCCCCTGTGACCACCAATGACCTTGGAAATGCTATAGGCAGCATTCCATGCCTGAAGATCTCCATGGCCCCAGGCATGTCTGGGTTCATAGCTTTGCAGCAGCTGGAATCTGGGATAAAGTTCATGGCTTCTGTTACTATCAAGTACTTTGCAGATGCACAGCATCCAGTCAGACATCTGAGACCATGTTGCTATGGGGGGCTTTGATGCCACCAGGGCCATGCTAATCTAGGTGCCCTATGCTGCCATAGGAAATCTAGAGCTGGCTTACTGGTTTATCATTTATCTTTACATTCTTGTAAGGTGGGAGAAGATCTCAGTCTTTTGTCCATTGGATTTGGAATGCTGTCTTCCCTTGCTATAGCTCCAATGTAGCATGTTATAGGCATGTGTCACTACAGCAACCTAGTTTATCCTGTTTTCCAAACGAAATATTAAAGCTCACACAATTAAGTATCTAGGCTCACATACCACATATAAAAAAATACCGTGGCTATTAATTCACATCTTGACCGTACAGTCTCCAAAATTCTTTCCTTTTTTCTACTCTGCTCTTTTCAAAGTTTCTTATCCTGGAGATTCATCACATAAGACAAATTGTTTGGGAAACAGTATTTTCAAACACTTACTATCAGAACTGAATGCAAGCTATAGGTGAGTTACAAAATTTTAACGATAGAAGAAATTCTGGTTATCCTCTTGTCTAATGTTCTATATTATTATAGAACATTATGTTTATTCAGTCTCAAGGAAGTACCTATTACTCAGTATTTTCTAGTAAATCAAGTTGAGCACCAGTGATTCAGTAGGTGGGAGAGGACTCTCCCTTTGCTGGAGGTGTCCCCTGATTTACATTGTTCAGACCCTTCTGGATTCGTATAGCAATATGCCTGCTTCAGGTCACACAGTGCGCTCCTTTAAGGTATAGTTGAACTGCTTTCAGGGGATCTTTAGTAAATTAGGGCATGATGCCTGATTTTTAAATGCCAGCCTGCTGCAATGAAGCATCACCAGGGAAGGGAGTCTTGCCTGAATCTTAGATAAACCTGTGGACAAATCCTTGAGGGATTGTCTTGATTGTTAGTTGACTCAGCCCACTGTAGGTGAACCCATTCCCTAGGCTATGCCATGCACTGTATAAGGGTGAAAAAAAGGTAGCTAAACCAATAAACAGGCAGCTTGAATGCAGGTTTCTTTTAAGCTTTGCTCTTAACATGAGTGTGCTCTTGACATATGTGTGTGTGTGTGTGTGTGTGTGTTTGTGTGTAATAGAAGAGCTGGATTTATAGGTGAATTCAGATTAATGTAATTTGCCCAATATGTGTTATGAGAGCCCAATTTCTATCATCTACCAGAACAGCAAGTACCATTAAGTAGATAGATAGATAGATAGATAGATAGATAGATAGATAGATAGATAGATGGATAGATTGATAGAGATAGAGATAGAGATAGAGATAGAGATAGAGATAGAGATAGAGATAGAGATAGAGATAGAAATATACTGCATACAAAGGAAGCTTGTCCTTCAAAAACATCACAATGTACGTGCAAAGGTTAATGGCACTTAGGTGTCTTGCCTTCAGAAGCTTAACATTTTCACCTAGCTGACTAAATTCTGTTGTGGATGATTCCAACTCCGAAGACTGATTTGAAAATTGTTAACTGGCTTGCATCACATTATCATTTCTCCAAGAGTTTCTTTCTACTTTTGGAAAATTTACTTAAACTGTGGTCCTTTGTCATAATCTCAGGAAATGTAAAATCAATGAAAATGAGTAGATCTGTATTTCTAAAAATATTCTCTTCACAGGAAGAAGAGTTGAGGAAGAGTGGGGAGGCCAAGTACGCACACCTGAGCGACGAACTGCATGTATTAATTGAAGTGTTTGCTCCACCCGGGGAAGCTTATTCACGAATGAGTCATGCCTTGGAGGAGATTAAAAAATTCCTGGTTCCTGTAAGTGATTTTTTTTTATTTTACAGACTGTTTCTTTTCCATTCCTATTTTAAATTGTGTCATTGATCTCTACTGACTTTTTGGAAGGAAATTCATGCTGTACATTAATTATCTATGTGTAGATTTGATACAAATCTTAAATAAATAGAGAACAACACAAGACATTTGTTATAAGAACTGACATGTGGGCACTTTCTACTAGTCTGACACAAGCATTCATCATAAGCCGGTTGCATAGTATACACCATAGGAAATTGAGCCAGAAACACTAATAAGAAAAATGTACAAGCAAATATACATGATTTATGTCACCATCCACTGTTTTAAGCCCCCTGACATGTATTTTGATAATTTATAATTAGTAGGAAAACATAGTAAAAAAGAATAAAAAGGATGTGATTGAATATGTGTTATTTATAGTAAGGCAATGATAGTATTTTAAAATGACAAGTGTCTTTTATGTGCTAGTTTGTCAGGTTCTAGCAGATACAAAATATAGTATATGATAATATTAATAGAGGTAGATATATGTTAACTTAGAAATTTAGAAATGTATACTCACCATACAATGTGATACTAGATGATGCACATTTAGTAAGGTGGCAAATTCAGCTGCAAGTTGAGTAGAGTTCTCTACTGAATTCCTAAGAAACAGAGGAACTTAAATGCGTGAAGTCTTAAGGTTGACAATTGAGCATTCTAGATAAAAGTCCTTCAACAGAAAGCTTGCCAAAAGGCTTGAAACTGATGGTGAGATATTGAAAGAACGCTGAGTAAAGTTCCCAGAAGATCTTGGAAAGATTCTCAGCCCAGAGCATAGATAACTGAGATTATTCTGCAAATAAAGAAACTCAGTGAAAACCTTAGAGAAGGTGGCTGGCAGATAAGATCCACTGATTAGTATGGTATTGAAAGCTGGAAAGGAAAAATATCAAAGAATTCCCTGAGTGCACAGCATTAAGGTCTGGCCATATTTTCTAGTTACAGGTCCAGTCCCAACGTTAATCTTCATCAAGACACAATTATAGAATAATGGCACACTAGGTTGAGTATTTCTTAATTGCATGTGCACAGTTAGTATTGGAGTCTCATCTGTAAACCTACCTAAGTAGATCTCATTCTGAAGATTGATGATGCTATATTCTTTGTTCCTTTGGTTTTCCAATAAAATATTTAGTCCTAAGCTGAATAAGGCATTTCAGTCTTTTTAGTTAGGAGCAGACCAGATAAACATATGTGTAATGAAGCCAGGTCTGTTTGTATCACAATTTCATTATATAGCTTTAGATAAAGTACTTAAATGTTTAGAGTATTAGTTTATTGATCTTTAAAATGAAAATGATCATAATTTACTCACCAGTCACAATTATTATAAATATTAAACAGAGTAATACATGCAAAGGGCTTAAAATGATAAAAATAGGAAAAATTGTTTATATATTATAATAGAAATACCTTTAGATAATTTTATGAGGTAAAATATGTTAGACAGTGTAATAAGTCTTTTTATTTGGAATATTACATATATATATGTATATAGGCATACATATAATATAAATACATTTATGACACAAATACAGATTTTTTCCATTTCTTTCCTCCCTCCAAACCCTCTCATATACTATTACCTACTCTCCTTCAAATACATGGCCAGTTTTTTCCCTAATTTTTATTTTATGCATAGATTCCTATTTGCATATTTTTCCTACATACATATTTTACATATATATTTCTAAGTAGAACTTTCTCAGTACATATAT